AAGGATACAAGCAACAAGGTTACAGTCATACAGTCACAAGTGGGAGAGGATGGGTGATAAGGAGTGATGAGAAGGTTAATAGTAAAAGTAGTGCAGACTTTGTAAATAGTTGAACAATGTTGAGGGATTTGTTTAGCAGAGTGATGGCATTTGGGAAAAATGTTCTTGTGTCTAGTTGTTCAGTAGCTAGCAAGGTGAGCTTACACCAGTCAATCTCAGTCCAATCCACCTCACAGGGTTGTTGGGAAGTAGTTAGGAAGAAGAAATGTTGATAGGTTTACCACCTTGAGTTATTTGTAAAAATAATAAAGGTGGGCTACAAATAAATACTACATATACTTTATGTCCTTAAGACCCTTAGAAACTCAATATACGTTCTACCACACTGCCGCTACTCTAGAGAAAGTGTAGCTGGTATTTTCCCCCCTCCTTCAATTTATTGTTCCTTTTAGGGTTTTTAAACTATCTGGGATTTTAAATTTCCGTTGATAATTCCTCCATGTCCCATTCCTACTTCTGGGAACGGCAGTCTGGGATATATTTCACCAGAGTCTGGGAAGGTTATCAGGCAAACAGATGCATTTTAATCTCATGTGCCAGGAGGTACCTGGGTCATTTGTAAACTGACAGCCCTGGGAGGAGGGTAAATTTCAGTCGGGAAGAGCCAGAACATTCTTGGCTAAAGTTTGTAGCTCCATGATGGAAATATTGGAAGTTCCGTTTAATGCAGACCATCTGGGAGACTCATTGGGGCTGCAAAAAAAAAAAGGGGGGTGGGGAAGTATCTGAAGCAATCCTGGCTGGATTGGTGGATTTATGAATGTGGAAGATTGTATATAGATGAAATCTATTCAGAAATTTGATATCATATTGCTGTCATTGCTTGTATGGCACACCTGTTCACTTTCTCTGTGTTAACACTTTTGTAATACTACAAGCAGCATCTAGGAAAGAGCCAACAGCAGCATTTATCCATAACTAGCAGGATTGCAACAGTTAATTTATGATGGTCACAAGGACCTATTGGTTAGCACCAGTGACATCATGCTTTCCCTTACATACATGGCTTTTAATTTTTTTCTCAAGTGCAGTAAGTAATACAGCCATCCATAGAGATGCATATGAATGTTTTCACTAAAAAGTTTAATGCAAAGATAACCACTTTCAAATAGTGCACTTCCAGTGGGTTAATCTTTTTTTGTTCATATTTATCCTTTGGGATGTTCCATTTTTCAAGGCTTTTATTTTGTTTGTCCCCCAAAAGGAAAATTGGTTGGATATAGCTTGAGAGCTCATCTAACAGTTTGAGATCCAGGCCTTAATCTCTCAACACAGAGACAGACCTAACTACCATTTCTTTTTTGGAACTTGATATTCTAGACCAAGCCAAATCCAAAAATGCTAGGAAATTCCTGGAAGCTTGGAATCTGAGCAAATCAGTCATCAGCAGATGCATAGAGTTAAACCCCATTGGCATATCATTTAAAAGAAAATTTCAAGGAAGGAAACAAACAATCCAGATTTATTTTCAGCAACTAGGACAATGTTGTTGGAGAAGACTCTGAGAGTACCATGGATGGCGAAGAAGAAGAAGTAGAAGTAGAAGTAGAAGTTAGAAGAAGAAGAAGAAGAAGAAGAAGAAGAAGAAGAAGAAGAAGAAG